GTTCACAGTTATTCATGATGTCACAGGTATAATAAAACCACAAACTTTTATGACTGATATCGTTGAAACTTTTTATTCGGCATGGGAAACTGTTATGGGCCCAGTTCCACATCGCCTTTTTTGTTCATGGCATGTCGATAAAGCCTGGAGACAAAATTTAAATAAAATTATTGGACCTCAGTGTAAGGAAAAACAATTCACTGGTTATAAATCATTAAAAATGCTTCAGACAATATCCAGTGACACTGAATTCAAAAAAATTTTAAACCAATTTATTATTGAAATGATGAATGATCCTGAAACAAAAGATTTTGGAGTATATTTTGAACGAATGTATGCAAATAGAACAACATTATGGGCATATTGTTACAGAAAAGGAGTGGGAGTAAATTGCAATATGCATCTAGAATCAATACATAAAACTAAAAAGTATCATTACTTAAATGGATGTAAAATTGGAAGATTGGATAAAAGTATAATGGCAATAAGACGATTCACGCGTGATAAAAAAGTAGAAAGAATGATCAAATTGACAAAGGGTAAATCAACAACAAGAATTCAAGAAATAAAAAAAAGACATGTAACCAGTATTTCACTTAATTTAAAAACATCCAAGAACGATGCAAAAAGCTGGAATGTAGATAGTGAACATACACCAAGTAAAACTTATGTTGTTAAACAAATTAACGAGGAAATATGTTGTGTAATAGTTTGTAGTACATGTAAAATATGCATTCATACATTTGAATGCACTTGTCTTGAAAAATAACGCAAATTGCAATGGGTTAAAGCTGTAAATCGACTTGAGTAAGTACTTTTTTTATCTCGGATATTTTTAAATTTGCTTAATAGTGTCACACTTGTATACTAAAACACTGATTTAATTTTCTTTGATTTTAGTGACAAGGGAAAACTATGGTGGCCTAAACTACGAAGTTCAATTTGTTCAGAACATTTTATTGGAAAAAAGAAATCTAATTAAAAATAGAGGTCCAACGGCACAGTTGTGGGTACAATACTTTGAGATGGTGACAATTCTGAAGGAATTTATAAGATCAGAAAGAATGGGCAACTTGAGAGGACACTTAGCGTCTATAAAAAAAATGATTCCTTATTTTCACGTAACAGGGCACTTTCTGTACGCAAAGTCAGCTACTTTGTATATTTCAGATATGGAAAATTTAAGAAATTCAATGGATAGTGAAACTTTTGAGAAGTTTACAAATAGTTTTTTCATAGTTAAACGATCAAACAAATATTTCTGTGGAACATGGAGTGACCAGATAATTGAGCAGACTCTGATGAAGTCATCAAAAATAAAAGGAGGATTCACACATGGAAGAAGTACTAACGAAAGTGTATTAAATAAATGGTTTTATGGGCTTCTGACTGCGAGTAACATTTCTAAATCCCTTGAAAAATTTTGCCAAATTTCTTTTCATTCTGGAGAACAACACGTAGACGCAGGGGTCTCTCGCATTAAAAGAGATAATGAAGATGTTCAAAAACTTTTACAGTGGTTAGATTGCCACTACCCTTTTGCCTTTATCGAAAAAATAATGTCCATTGCATAAGGAGTCACTGGAGATGAGAAAATTAATTGTCACGATGCTAATAGGATTGGTAATATTGCTATGCAAAAAAAAAATGGGCCAAACATTTTTCGATATTAAATTTTCGCGAGCAGATCGAGTACTTCCACTTTTAAACGTTAACAGTAATGTTAAAGTTCACAACAAAACAGTGCCGATCGATCCGTTATTATTGTTTCAAAGAATTTGTGTTATGAAAAGATCAAATGAGGAGCTCCGAAATTATTTGGCTTATGAGTTGGCTCCGTTTCCAGTATCGCTCTTTGATGAAAAAGGAATGTGGAAAACAAATAAATCAGCATTGTATGGCAGTTTCAAATCACTCACGCCTGAACAAGAGCAAGATTTACATTTCGAAAATGGCACATACGTGATTGATGGAGGATTTTTGTTACATCGAGTGGTGTGGCATCAAAATGAAACTTTTGAAGCTATTTGCACAGCGTATATTAATTATGTGAGTAAACACTTTGGATCGAACTGTATAATAGTTTTTGATGGTTACAGTAATCCCAGAAACAGTGTAAAAACAATGGAGCAATCTCGCCGAGCAACAAAAACTTCATCTCCTGATATTAATTTTGAAGACACGCTGATTTGCACAGTAAGCCAAGAGAACTTGCTTTCTAATAGAAATAATAAAATCAGGCTGATTTCGATGCTGTCTGCCAAATTTCGATTGAATAATTTTATCGTCAAACAAGCTACCGATGATGCTGATGTTTTAATTATTGAAACAGCGATAAATGAGGCTGTGAATAATATCACAATTGTAGTTGGGGAAGACGTGGACCTCCTTGTGATTTTAACTGCTCGTGCCCTAACGACACAAGAAATTTTGTTCCTCAAACCAGGTAAAAAAAATGTTGAAAGGAAACTATATTCATCTCAAAGCTTCGATCAACATCATCTTATTCGAGATAAAATTTTATTTCTCCATACTTTCTCGGGCTGTGACACGACATCTGCTCTTTCCCACAAAGGCAAATCATCAGCCTTAAAACTAATGACAAAACGAGAAGACCTACGACTTGCAACTCAGGTATTTAATTCACAAAATGTTTTGATTATTGATTGAAAATGGTATCAAATTTATGCTTGGTATTTATGGAGCACCCATCAACGAAACCTCTCTTAACGAGTACAGATACTCGAGTTTTATTAAATCTGTGAGTAAAAATAAGCCAGTAAAATTAAATCTACTTCCACCGACTGCTGATGCTGCTGAGATGCACCTGTTACGTGTTTACTACCAGGTTCAGAAATGGTTGGGTAATGATTTAAATCCCACAGATTGGGGTTGGATTTTAAGGGAAGGTGTCTTAACGCCAAGGAGAATGTTGCAGCTCCCTGCACCAGATTGCCTACTTAATATGATTTTCTGCAAGTGCGTGAAAGGTTGTGGAGCACTATGTGGCTGTCGAAAACTAGGATTGGACTGCTCGGCAGTTTGCGCTAGCTGTCATGGACAATCATGCTACAATTCACCCCCACTTGAAAGTACGGTCGGAGGTCGATAATTCCAATAACAGTTCTATTTACACCAAAGATGTCATGGAGGCAACTGAAGAAATTGAAACACCAGAAAATGTCTATTATAGTGACGGATATAAGATGGAGGAAGAAGAAGAAATCTAATTCAAAATGTATTGGTAAATTTTTTATTTTTATTCGTGATAGAGTTTTGTAGTTGTGGAATAGGCCTACTAGGGATACCACGTAAAAAAAAAAACGCGCCTAATACTCAACATCCGTAGGTGGTGTGGAATAGAGTAAAAATAATGTACTATAAATATCAATGAAAGTGTGTTAGCTTGGACCGTACAACGATTTTCATAAATATCTATGTCGAAAAAAAAGTTCTTATAAATACTAATTTTTACTTACATTTTTTTTTTAAACCTTTTGGTTGTAGGCTTAAGGACTTAGGATACTTTTTTATAGATAATTTACTCAGCTTTAATTTAGTATATAAGTATTTTAGTTGTCCAGTTAATATTTTAAGAAGAATTAGTAAAAAACTGATTTTTGAGCAATATTCACCCCTTAAAACCACCCTTTAAATTTTAGCTCATGCGTTATCACCTGGGACTTTTAGGAGAATAATCAGGACCCTAAACTATAACAAAAAACCAATCAAAACCTTTTGTTTGATTTAATCAAAACTCTAACTGCTGTGGACTACTAACTGCATACGCCGGTCGCTATTTGTCTCACGACAGTAATACGTATTTAGTCAACTCCGAGCGCTGGCTGTTCAGATGCACGATGTCTATAGGCTGTTTAGAAATATTCCAAGTACGAATTCAAACATATTTCAACAAAGGTGGGTATATGCAGTGCCGGACTGGGTACCGCGAAAAAATAACCCCGAAAAAATAACCACCGACAAAATAACCCCAAGAAAAAATAACCACCGACAAAATAACCCCAAATTTCCATAATATGAGATTTTGCAAATTAATCTCAAATCAATACAAAATGTATAACATACCTATTGGCTATTATATACGTACAATATTAATTTTGAATTCAATGATAAATTATTGTATATACCCACTATAAAAACAATTCAGAGCTCTACATCAGAACCCTACATCATACGAATTGAAAAATATAGTGCATTTTTTACTGTTTTTTACTGTTTACTTGAAAAAAAAAATCAATCTATTTACGAAATAATATTCAAAGCTATTTTATCAGTCTGCGAAAAGAACAATCTTTTTCCAGATCCACAAAATATAAAAATAGACTTCGAAAAGGCATTAATAAATGCAGCAAAAAATGTATTAAGTAAACATTTAATAATAAACGGATGTTTGTATCACCTATGCCAGAGTACTCACAGAAAATTGGCAGAATTAGGATTAAAAAAAAAATACCAAGAAGGTTATGATTTTAATGAATTCTGTGGTACCTACCTATGTTAGATGGCTTGGCTTTTTTTACCACTAAATAGGTTACAGGAAGGTATTGAATATTTAAAATTAATTATTCCTCCGAGGAGTTATTTCAATATTTTGACGAAACCTACGTGATGTGGAACAATACGTCGAATAAATAAAAAATTAAATAAATAAATAAATAATAAATTTTTATTGGACTGGATAGGGTCCGGCCCATAATCCCAAATATAATAGCGGCCCTACTCTCTGGTCATAGGCGTAATTAGTTGGGGGATGAAGGGGGGCTTAGCCACGAACATTTTTTTACCCCCCAAATAATATACCTAATGATATATTATAAAAGAGAGTCATCTGAGAATCATTTATGATATATTCGTCATAGAAACTAATTAATGTGTAATCTGTAATTTTTCGGTTAAAGTATTAACTACTTGTATGAAAGACCTTTTATGAAATTGTCTAGCCTTAGCTATACATATATTTTAATATTTTATAACTTTTGAACTACAAATTAACTATGGTTCAATTTCGACCTCCTAAAAGTACCAACTAGATCCAATTTGCTTCCAAAAACATACACTGGGCATCGAAGCTTATGACAAGAGCATTTTTTCTACCAGAAATGTTGAAAAGTTACAAACATTTTAAAATACCTCAAATAAACGTATGAAATTATTAGACTGGACAAAATAAAAATAAATTTGTAACTAATTTTCAAGACCCCCCCCCCCCATTGAAAAATCCTGCGGACGTCACTGGGTCGCTGTAATGGATGGTGTTAAATTTGAATACAATGATATAATATTATCATTGTACAAGAAAAACAATTCTGAGCGAAAAATAAATTAAAATTATAAATTTGATAAATTTTGACAACAATTGAACTTTAAACGCTTATAACACAAAATTGTGCCAATGTATTGCAACTCTATGAAACATAATTATGTGCTGGTAGGTATGTCGTATTGATTTCCGTCGATACCTAATAACAAGTCTGGTTGTTACTATAACAATCATACGCCTCACGGGTCACCGTTTGTGTACAATATCATTATGATTATTTATAGATACTATAATTAATAATACTATATATATACTATTTACTATACAATATATAATATATTATATATAAATATATTATGATATAAACTATAATGTATACTATTTATATTCATGATAATAATAATATAATATATTATTGTATGCGCACCCAGCGCAACATTTAACAGACTGCACCGCACGCCAACCCACCCAATTTTCCTATTGTTTGT